ATTAATTGTCCTCCTAATTGTCAATCATTCTGGTGATATGTTTACGTAAGCCCGTCCTACGTGCTCGTCCCCAGTTAGCTATCTTTTTCTGTGCATGTGCACTTTCAGGCGTATATCTATGGTTTCAGACAGTCATTGAAGCTCACCTTTCTCACTGCGGTTCTTTGAAAATGGCCGACGGTCGTAAGAGAAAAAGTGTCTACAAAGTGTATGAGAAGAAAAGAAAGACCTCAGCAGAGGCAGATATATCCCAGAATGCTTTGTGAGGAGAACTCTTTTTTTTCCTTTTCCATAACATCATCTCCATTAGATTATTACAGGTGATGAACATGTCTTATACAAAGATGTCTAGAAAAACATTGAATCTGTAAACAGGAGCCGTTTCTAGTTTTGGTCCCTTTGTCTCCACCCATTACCGTAAAGATCAGTGAAGAACGCCGCGTGTTTGATTTCAGGGGGCCAACTTGTTTTGATTGAAACTTTGAGCTTAAAAAAGTTTCAAATCCCGCTGCGCGTTTAGTTTTCTTGGAGCGAGGCTGACAAACATTTAACATTCAGTCCAAGCAGTGTTTTAAATCAGGGGGGTTAATTTTGTTTAATTTGTTTGACTAGAGATGGACGGATACCTGACTCTAAAGGCCGATAACGATTATTCTAACGGCAGTCCAGCCGATCCCTGATTAGTGCTGCTAATGATGCTTTTTGTTTCTCCATTTACACGATGAAAAAAAAAAACTGTGAAAACAAATGTTACACAAGTGTTGAATTAACCCGAAGAAAACATTGGCCGACAAAAAAATGTAAAGAACGAAGAGCAAACAGAGGAAACCCTGTAAAATAGGCCGATGTATCGGTCTATACATCCAATTAACGCACTCAAAACCTAAAATGTTTTTAACCCGGCAGGTTCTAGACACCTATACCGATATATTGCTGTTTTTTTTGTTTTTTTTTTTACTTATTTTGTAATATTAAAAGCCTTCTTTAAAGGTGCCTTTAAATTTTACTAAAATCAATCTTCTATTGTAAAATAATTACATTTCTGAAGCCACAGCATCGCCTCTAAGACAGCGTGAGAAAAATTATCTACATTCATGTTTCTGCTCTTCCTGAGTTTATGACCCTGGTCATAATTTACACAAGTTCAGCTAAACGCTGCTGATTGGTTGATGATCCAAGCCTTTTTAAATAAAACTGAAGACACTAAAATATCCGGTCCTGAATAAGGACACTAGTGATGGTGTAAAGAAAACAGAACATTAGTGGCTGAGATTTCCCTCTCTGCTACTTTTTTAACTATATCAAAATTCGACGGGAAAAAAAAAAGAAAAAAAAAAAAGAAATTGATTTGACAGAATATTTACAAACAGAACCCATCACCTAAAGCTAACATTTCAACCATACAAGCTTTTTTATTTATGGAAATATGTGCTGAGCTTTAAAAGCCATTTAACAGCATATTGGAAAGCATACAAAAACCCACTAAGACTTGGCCTGCATTTCAAGACCCATTTGAATTATGTTCAATGCAACAAAGATGAAACGTTACAAAGGAAGAGGGAGCGTTTTCAATTTGCTGGAGGGGTAATCCAAATTAAAAACAAAAAAACGATAAAACATCTCCAAGTCTGTGTGGCATTTTACCAACCTTTTGATTCTTTTATTATCCATGCAGAGGAAATTTTAAGGCAGGAAATGTAAGTATCTGCTCCAAAATACTGAGTGTTAAACTCTGATGGTCATCCAAAGGCCACTCCAAAACAGCACTAGTGCTGCAAGAGGCCGTAATGTTTGAAAATCTTTCAGCGGCGCCATCACTGGTCCCAAGAAGAAGTCTACTGTAATGAAAACTACTTCGTTTGGATCTTATAAGCAAACAACACTTTTCAGACCACCTGAAAACCACTAAAGAAGCTCGTTTTAAATCAAAACCATACAACTAAATCTGTGCTTTAGGGATTTTATGTAATAGAATACCTCTAAACAGATCAGAATTAGGAAATAGATGCTAAAGGATGTTTTTCTTCTACATAAAAAACCTATAAGCCGGACTTCCATTTGCATTTAACCCCAATTTACTCTAAGAACCGCCCATTTAGTCTCAAGAGCTCAGTGGTTCCTCTAAGAACATCTATGGACAACAAGCATCACGAAGAAGCACAGTCCAGGAAGAAGGATCTAAAAAGTTTTAGGTTTCCCCAGTTTCTCCAATCCTCGAACATCTCTGGGAGCGCCTTTCCAAATATAATCAAGGAAGCGGAAGGAATATAGCAGAGCTACCAAGATACGAATGTCAACAGCAAATATGTGGAAGGAGGTGTTCTGGATGTTTGGTACCAAAACTTTCTGTTTCTGATTTTAAATAAATAATTTAAATGGCAGAAATCTAAACAGCATTCTGCTTTTGACGCACAGCTTGTACTGGTGGTGCTATCAGAGATGGAGACGCTGGATGGAGGTTTAACTTCGCATTCAAGAGCTACTTTGGAGCGATTTACAAACCACCTCTAAAGCGGCCTAGTCAAAGTCCAGACCTGCATCTTATAAAACAGGAGTCACCGATTAAAATCAGCCGGGTCTGAATAAAGAAAACATCAACCAGTAAAGATCTGGAGACATTTTTAATTAATTATCTGTTACTTAAACAGAATTTAACACTGAAATAAAATCAGGTTTTTATGCATCCATGTTATACACTGACTTTTTAAATAAAATTTAAAAAAAGATTCTCCCATTTTAAAATCAAAAGTGTAGAGAACAATCTTTCAGATTGGTATATAGACAATTTCCTGATGCACATATTTTATAAAACACCTGAACTTTTATTTTATTTATTTCTCTGTTATGGCTTAATGAGAGCAGTGGGCTTTAGGCTGCCCTGCACAATATTTATTTTTGTTTATATCCTGCTTCACAGCAGCAGGTTGAGCCAAACATACTCTAAATGTGCAGGGTCATCTTTGAGCACGCCATTTTACTTTTCTTTCACTAGTTCACCACAGTTCTTACAGCAGTCCACACTTTCTCTGTTCTCTTTTTCTCATCATCTCCTCCTTCTTCTTTCCCATCGCCCGGCTTGCCACAGGTTTGCCTGCTGTGTCTAAAAGTAGCAGCAGCAGCAACCCAGACTGATAGCAGCTCATTGGATAATTGGCATCATGTGCAGCTTGGAGCCGGACGTCTTTACCGTATAAACAGGAGAAGCAGCGCAAGTGGAATTAGACATTGTCGTCAGACAACATGCAGTAATTTATAAATGTTTGAAGTCAGGTTGGGTCCAAATCCTGACCGCGGTCCGCTAATCAGTGACCTCTGTTATAAAGAGCATGTGGTGCTGATCCAATCTAAGGGGCGCAGAATGCAAATAAACCATATTTTATAGCTAATCTGACACTTCAAACCACCGATGTTCTAATAGAAAAAGTCCTGCATCAAACACAGCAGGACATGAGCATACGCCGATTCGGTGTGGGGTAAAAGCAGCTGTGTGGAGCAGGTAATCACCTGGGACATGGAAACCCTGCCAGTCAGAGGAAATAAGGAAAATGTAAAAAATAAATAAATAAATAAAAACTACAAGAAAGCTGTGACGCTTGGCTGACACTTTGCTTGTAAACAGAAGTGCAGCCCAGTGCCTGGGTCACATGGCAGCAGAGATCCAGCTCGCTCTGTGCACCTGATCTGAAAACAGTAGAGAGCAACGTTGTAAACGGAGGCTACGTGACCACACCTACCCCATCTGCTGTGCTAGAGTCAGTGGATACGGAAGAGCAAAAAATATATATATAAAAATAATAAAACTCAACCATTAATCTTTGATTCAGCAAATAAAAAGGAAAAATATCTCAGTGGGCAGACACAGAGGGCTTAAACTAATCACAAACAAAAACAAAACGGTAGATTCACAACACTACAGTCAGCATGCAAATTACTGCAGTGGGAGGAAGTGAGCAAACTGTTCTCGAGAAGAAGAAAAAAAGAAGCTTAAAAATAAAAACAAATTCATCTATATGCACTGTTTTTTATCTTTGCAAGGTATATATTAGAGATATGTTTGAACTTAATACCAGAAAAGAGTTTAATTAAAATACAAGATGGGTTAATATTATCTAAATGAAATATAAAATACCAAATGTTATGTGCTGTAGCACACAGTGTGAGCAGAGGGGCTGTTTTTCTGCAGCCTTCCATTAGAGGCAATTATAAATGGCCAAGAGCGGAGGAGCAGGGAGCCAATCAGATCTCAGCTCGCATGTCAACTCAAGACCAACTGTCTCCTGGCTCTGACAGCACGATTTTTACCTCCATAATTCAAATCCCAAAGCAAAGAGCAAATCTGCACTTTGCCAACTCAGAAGCAAAAAGCCACGTGAAAGGAGGAAGGAGGGCATCTCTCTAAAACCAAACCTCCCCCCTGAAAGGGGTCAGTCACTAATGCTCTACAATCACAGCATTTATTCATTATTATTATTATTATTAATCAGAGATCAAAAAAATCAACCGAACACGGGTTCATTTGCAGGAGAAACGGCGATGCAAATGCTTATTAACGGTCATGGCTGTCATTTGCATCCTGTTTATAACCCTGACATCTTCATCCTCCCCCCTTCCTCCCCCAAAAAGGGGGGAAATACAAGCAGTTTGAAGGCAGATCCTGACAATAATAAAAACAGGAGCTGCTCTGATGTCAACACAGAAAACCAGGAGCTTTAAGGAGGAATATCACCTCCACGCACACACAAGCTCCTCTCACAAACTCCTCATCCACTTAGTCAAACTTCTGCCCTGAAACGAGCAGACCCCCGCAGCAACCCAGAGCTGTTGTAGCAGCTTTAGGCTCCGTTTAAACACCGATGCAGGGGAGGAACAGCCAGCAAGAGACAGGCAGCCATTTTATAGAGCTCCTGCTTCACAGACAATGGCTGATCCGATGCAGAAAAGCAGCTCAGTGTTGCCTCTTTTAGCCACTAAAGTGATGCGGGGCGGCAGGTGGGGTTTACCTGGTTCCTGCTGGGGGGCTGTCCGGTGTTTCCTGGGCTCATGGGGGGCGGGTGATGGGCCCTTTGTTGCCAGCCCGGATGGACCCCAGCATACTGATCTCCTGCCCCCTTATTGGGCCCTTCTTGGTTGTTGTAGTCTCCCTGGGGGTAGCTGGAGTAGCTCCTGGCGGAGCTCGGGGACGTGAGGAGCTGGTTTAAAGTCGGCGTGGATGTGGGCTGCTGGGTCCCCATGCTGTACCTCTGGTTGTTGTAGGAGGCAGCCATAGCAGCGGTTCCTCCTGCCGGCTGCTGCTGCTTGCCTGGCTGCCCCCCAGCCGCCGGAGGCTGGCTGCTCCGCGGGGAGCTCATGGGCCCGTATCCCTGGCCCTGGTAGGAAGTCCTGTTCTGGAACTGGTTGTAGCTGTTGTAGTTGTTGTGGTAGCCGTGTTCGTGTGAGTTAGCGGGGTAAGGCTCCATCATGCCCGGCCCCGATGCAGCTGCCATGCCAGGGCTTTGTTGTCCGCCATGTTGAGGAAAAGGGCCCCGGCTGTAGTGCTGGTTGTAGCCGTAAGGAGGTGGAGGGAAGGCTCCGGGGTGGTGGTGGCCCATCCCGGGCAGGTTGTTTCCTTCGGGCCCGCCTGAATCATTCTGGTTGCTGCTGTTATTATTCAGCCGGGCTAAATTCCCGTTCTTCATGTCAGGGTCCGCTCCTCCTCCCCCCCCAGCATCGCTGCCGTCCTGCAGCTCCTTCTCTCCCGGAGATCCCGCGTCAGGTCCCGTGTCCTTGTTTTCATGCTGCTTCTCGGCCGGTACCGACTCGTCCTGTGGGTCCCGGTCCGGCTTTTTGAGTTCGGATGGCGGGCTAGTGTTGAGAGCGGCGACGCTGGCGACCTGAGCGGCCATGATATCCCCCTCTCTCTCGCCTCCACTCTTTCTTTACCTCTCTTTCAGCACGGCGACTCGCTCGCAGTTAAACTCCCAAGAAGCATTGGATAATAATAATAAAATTACATTTGTAACAACATACCCGTCGTCCCGGTTCATTCCCCCCTCGTTCCTCCGGTCGCACCGGTGTCCGGTAATCCACAGCGACCGCGTTTAAACTTCAAACATGGAGGGTAAAGTTTTGTGAAAGAAAGAATGTATAAATACAGAGGCAGGGAAATGAATTTCACCGACACCAGCCACTGTGCCTGTCTATGCGCGTGTGTGTTGGGGAGAGAGAGAGGGGGGTCTGTTACAGAACGAGAGCGCGAGCTAGAAATCAACCAGACCAGCACGAGGCTCCGCGAGACACAGCCATTACTGACCTGCGCGAGACTTCTAAAACCTGGAGTGGAGCACAGCGCGAGGCCTGGACCGGAATGAGCTAGCTTCCGTGTTTACGCCTGTTGAGAGCATACAGGAAGATGATTAGGGCCACTGAAAAAAAAAAGTTAACTGATTTTTACAATTTATTTCAGTATAGTATGAGAAAAAAGTCAATTAGTTAATCTAAGAATTTTGACTTTAATCTAAGAATTTTGACTTTAATCTCAGAATTCTGATTTTAATCTCAGAATTCTGACTTTAATCTCAGAATTCAGGCTTTTCTCTCAGAATTTTGACTTTTTTCTCATTTTTCTGACTTTAATCTCAGAATTCTGACAGCTAACAAAAATTTTAGCATCAATCTGTAGCCATGTCTGTTTTAAAGATTAAACTAGCTCTCTTTTTTTCATCACCTTCTGCTCTTCTATTAATGAAACATCACCAGGGACCCGTCTTAATGTAGATGGTACCCATCTACATTAAGATCCAAAATTATGAAGTTAAAGTCAGAATTCTGACTTTGTCCCATATTAAACTGAAATAAAATTTAATAATCAGTAAATTTTTTTTTTTTTTTTTGTGGCCCTAGTCCTCTTCCGTAGACTTCAACTGAAACGGCTGTCGCCTTGTTTTTAGAAGTAATGCTCCTCACTATACAGTGGTGTCAAAAGTACACTTGTTACTTAAGTAGAAGTATAGATACTGCAGTTTAAAAACACTCTGGTAAAAGTTAAAGTATTAACTTGACCTCTCTACTCAAGTAAAATTGAAAAAGTATGTGCTCCAAAAACTACTTAACCCTTTATAGGGCACTCAGTGAAATACTTCGAAAATTCAACATTTCAAGCCAATAGTCTTATTGGAATCCTGGACAAGACCTTATTACCTTTGTAACATTCAAAATATATGGATATTTTCACGGCAAAAATGAATGTCAATGTAATAACAAGAAACTCCAACTTGCAACTTTTTAACTTAATTTCCAGTAGGTAATATATCATTCAAGGGCTCATCTAATTGGTCAAATGCCAAAATAAGATGTACAGCCATGTAGCAGTATCTTTGCTGAATGGCTGGATGTAGATCTTGTGTGTCTAGGCCTCACTGAGGGACGGGGGGGACTCCATCTGTAAGGGGTATGCAAGTGATCAAAAACAGTATCTTGCCCTATAAAGACTTAAAGCTGGGGTCTACAACGGTTTCCCGGTCAAGGACCCCCAAATTGATGGCCAGATGGTGCAGGGATTATAATTATATAATATAATATAATTACTAATCATATATATTGTATTACATTGTGTTACATCAAACTGGTCCTATACTCACCCCATTACAGGGATCGGGTACCCCCTGTTGAAGACCTCTGACTTAAAGTATAAAA